GGCTGGGGGAGGCCGAACGGCAACTTCTCGGCCCCCAGCAGGGCAGGCCCAGACGGCTCAGGGACCTGTGGCCAGAGTCCCCAGGCCATGCCCCTTCCCACCTAGGCTCAGGCCCCCGGGACAGAGGCAAGGCGGCTGCCCAGACTGGGGGACTTCCTTTTCCTTCTTTTCTGGAGTCAGAGTCGCACTCCGTCGCCCAGGCTGGAGGGTGGGGGCGTGCTCACGGCCACCGCAGGCTTGACCTTCTGGGCTCAGGTGATCTTTCCGCCTCAGCTTTCCAAGGAGCTGGAACCACAGGCACAAGCCGCCATGTCTGGCTAACTTTTTAAATTTAGTGTACAGACGAGGCCTCGCCAAGTGGCCCAGGCTGGCCTCGGACTCCTGGGTTCAGGCGATCCTCTTGCCTCGGCCCCCCAAAGTGCTGGGGTGACAGACACGAACCACCGTGCCCAGCCGGCCTGGTGGGCTTTCCAAGCAGGTCTCCAGGGTCTCCAGGCCAAGACAGGAGGGGGCAGGAGCCTTCACACAGTGGCCTCTGCCCAGAGGGCCCTCAGAGAAGCCAGGCAGTTCCAAGCTGCCAGTCGCCTCCCTGTCCCTCTGGCTCCGCCCGCTGCGGGTCACCAGAGTCCTCTGGCCTCCCTCTCCTCATTGAAAGTAAGCAAGCAGGCCGGGCTCGGCGGGTCAGCCTGTGATCGCGCGCCTTGGGAGGCTGAGGTGAGGGGATGGCCTGAGCCCGCAGGTTCGAGACCCGCCTCGGCAACTTGGCGAGCCCTCGTCTCTACAATAAAAATCAAAAATCAGCCGGGCGTGGTAGCGCACGCCTGTAGTTCTGGCTCCTCGGAAGGCTGAGGCGGAAGGAACGCCTGAGCCCAGTAGGCTGAGGCTGCAGGGGCCATGAGCGTGCCGCTGCGCTCCGGCCTGGGTGACAGTAAGACTCCGACTCAAAAAAAAGAAAAAAGAAAGCGAGCAACCAGGAGCAGTGGCTCATCTACTCGGGAGGCTGAGCTGGGAAGACTGCTTGAGCCCAGGAGCTCATGACCAACCTGGGCAACATGGTGAAACCCTGTCTCCACAAATGAATACAAAAGTTAGCTAGACGTGGTGGTGCACACCTGTGGCCCCCGCTGCTCAGGAGGCCAAGGCAGGAGGATCGCTTGAGCCCAGGAGGTCGGGGTGGGGAGCAGCTCCAGCCTCACTGGAGCCGGGCCGCAAGGCCTGGGGTGAAGCTGCTCTGCCGACGCGTGATGAAGCCTCTGCCTGCTGGGTCAGCCCTCGCTGCGGCTCGGCAGCCTGGGGTGGGAGAGAAGGCGGCACTGGGGGCCTCTGGCTGGCGGCCCCCCACGCCCCGCCGGAGCCGGCTCCAGCTGCCCTCTTAGCCCTGGCACGGGGCTCCAGCCCCCGCACGCACGCGCCCCTTGGGCTCCGCCCCTCTGACTCCGGCCTGGCTGGTCCCCAGGCAGCACAATGGTGCTCTTGTCTCCTGGCCCCACCGGCCTGGCCGCTCCGGGCCGGCCAGTCTTCCCAGCCTCGGGCAGGGCCCACCCGTCAGGCATCTCGGCCTCCACCCCAGACCCCTCAGGGGAAAGGCCATGTGGCCGCCTGTGGCTGTGAGAGGTCAGAGGTGGCCGAGGTGAGCAGCTTCGCCAGGCAGCGTCTCAGGCTGGCCTCACTCCTGTTCTCAAGCCGCCCCCGCCTCGGCCTCCCGAGGCACCGGGACTGCAGTGTGAGCCGCCCCATCCCCACGACGCGCCAGCCCTGTGTGTGTCCACCCCTGACCCCCCCAGCGCGAGGAGCTGCCACTGAAGCCTGCTGAGGCGGGGCTGGAGGCCAGGCCTACCTTCGAAGCCGGCTCCCCTGCTCTGTGATTGAATGAAGACAGAGGGCTTGGGCAGGTGGAGGGACGGAGAGGCAGGGAGGAAGGAGGCTCAGGAAGAGGCCTGGACTCCAGCCCCGCCTCGGCAGGCTTCAGCGGCAGCTCCTGGCGCTGGGGGAGTCGGGAGTGGACACACACGGGGCCCATGAGCCGGCCATGGGGCCTGCAGAGAGGCTGGGTCGGGGGCTTGGGCTGGCTCTGGGATCCCACAGACCCCCAGGTTGGAGAGAGCAGCTTCCTGAAGTAAGAAGCAATGCTCCCTGCAGGCTGTTCTCGGCAGGAGTGGGGCGGCTCCCACGTCTATGCTGGTGTGTCGGGCGGCCCCCAGCACACCCCATGGCCCTCGGCCAGCCCTCCCTCCCTCCCGGGCTGGGTCCACAGTGGTCTCCCCACCGGCAAGTGGGGTCCTTGGCGATCTGAGGCGCAAGGTGCTGCAGGCCACACCTCCCTCCCGCCCACCCGCAGTGCCCCCGTGACAGCCCGCATGGCTGGGCCCTGCCTGCGGCTGGGAAACCCCCCTCAAAACGGATGTGAATGCCTTCCTCCCCTGCCCCACTAGGTAAGGCCACGAATGTCTGGCGGGGCCTAGCTGCAAATTCAGATGCATCGTAACTGTCCATCAGCATCGTGGCAATAAGGTGCTCTTCTTGGAACCTGCGAAACCCGTCTCGACAGTATGTCGTGGAAGAGACCGCTCAGTGGCCTTGCGACTGACTCCTGGTCTCTGCCTGCGGCCGTGGCACACCCTCTGGGCTTGTGCAGCCCAAGGAGGTCCTGCCTCCCTTGCCTGAGTCCAGGAGGCTCTAACCCGGCCTTAACCAAGACAGGGGATAGGGACCCTCTCTTGGGACGGGAAGGAGGGCAGGGGGCAGAGGACAGTCCTGAAGCTGCACCCGGAAGCCCCTGGAAAGAGGCAGGAGGGAAGGGGAGGGCTGGAAGACGCAGCACTTTTCAGCCTTAAATGAAAGCTGCTAAATTAAAGAAAATCAGGAGGCTGAGTGGATTGCCTGAGCCCATAGGTTCGAGACCCATCCAGGCAATTTGGTGAGACCTCATCTCTACAATAAATCAAAAAATCAGCCGGGCGTGGTGGTGCATACCTGTAATTCCGGCTACTTGGAAGGCTGAGGCGGAAGGATCGCCAGAGCCCAGCGGGTCGAGGCTGCAGTGGCCGGGAGCGGCCACTGCACTCCAGTCTGGGCGACAGAGTGATTCTCCGACTCAAAAAAAAAAAAAAAAAATCATGAGAAGGCAATGACCGAGTCTGCACGTGCCTCCTCAGCACAGCGTGGCGAGGTCCTGCGTGGCTGCTTGAAGGCCACACGTGAGTCTGTGTGAGCATCCATGTCAGCACACATGCAGTGGCAGCACCGGACAGTGGGCGAGGCCGAGAGGCCGGCTCCCTCCAGACCCCCCGCGGCGACCCCCGCCCACGGCTCCCCAGTGTGAAGGGCTCTGTCCCAGGGATGGGAGACAGGCAGGCCCACTAGGCAAGCGGAGGCCCTGGGAGACACAGCTCGGGGATGTTCTGCACGTCCGCCCGCTGGGGCCAAGGGATCCCGGAGCCCCCTCCCTCCCGCCTTGCCAGGACGGCATCTCTCAGCAACAGCCATGTCTTACCAAGCGAGTTCTCCAAGAACGTTCCCACTTGGACAGCCGGCTTCGCTGACTGAGGCCACGACTGCAAGTCGCTGATGCGCCTCCCAGCGCGAGTCAGGCCAGAGTCCAGCGGTCGGGAAGGCCACCTCTTGCCAGAGGTCCAGGAGCCTGCACTGGCTGGGTCTTCTTGGGCAGCCGCCAAGGCCCGCGGGCTCCTGACCCAGCACCGCCCGCCAGCTCGGCCGCCTGTGGACATTCAGAGAACCCAGAGGACTGCATGGACAGATGAACCTTTATTTAAAAAAATAGCACTTCAAATAAATTAAAAGGGACAACCGTCAAGTGTTCAATTGTGAAGAGAGTTGAGGTCTGGAGCCTCCACCTCGTCCTGTCCACGCGGAACCTGCCCACCTGCGCCTGCCCCCACCGAGCCACGAGGACGACAGGAGGGCGAGGAGGCCGTGGCCTCCGACTGGAATGGACGCTGCCACGCGCTTCTGACCTGGGCTTCGCCTTATGACCAAGCGGTTCTTCCAAAATAAAGGGGGGAGCTGCATGGTTTAAAAATTGAAAGTACTCAGGGATAAAACACTAACTCTAGTGCCTGTAACGGGCAATAGCAACTTTTTCCTCCGAAGTCAAACACCATCCCCAGCCGAGCCTCTGTGCTACAAGCCTGTCAGGAGATGTCACCTAAGCTTTATTAAAAGAAAAGAACAAGTTTAAATATAGACACTGGACTAGCCCAGTCTGTGTTTCAAGTCCACATTCTTCATCTGGAGCACTGCGTCAGGGACCCCCGAGTCTGTGTGGTTCAAGCCCACCGCACGTGGAACCAGTGTGTCTCCGAGTTTCCCTCGCTCAGAGCAGCCATGTCGTGCTGTCGCCGCTGCAGCCGTGGGCGGCCTCCCTGCGGGGCCGAGCCGGCCCCAGGCCCCTCCGAGAGTCGCTGCCGCCATGCTCGATGGATGGAAAGCGGGGAGGAAAGCACCAGGGGCAGGGCCGGGTCGCCTGGCCCCGCACGTGCCAGCGCGAAGCCCTCTGTCCACTGTGTGCCTGACAGTCTGCGGCCCGGCGGCCTCAATTCGAGGAGCTGTTGTTGGACGCCCCTGAGGTGGACGCGATGGCCGCTCCGGCCGGGCTGCTCGTGGACACCGACTTGCGGATGTGCGGCAGCAGGTAGGGGTCGCAGGCCAGCTGCTGCACGTCGATGCGGTCCTCCTTCCGGTAGGCCAGGCACCGCCGGATGAATGCCTGCGGAGGACAGCCGTGAGGGTGGCGCGGCCCCGGCGCCCCGAGGGAGCCCGGCCCAAGCCCGGTCTCCCCAGGGAGGAACGCCGAGACCCAGGCGGCCGGGGAGGCCCGCAGCAGCGCCTGTGCCCCGGCCCTTCCCGGACGGAGGGCCCGGCCAGCCCCAGGCGCAGGCGGCCCCAGGCTGCGCCTTCCGCAGAGCCCCAGGACCCGCAGAGGGCCAGACCGCCTGGTGGCTCGAGCGGGGCCGTGGGCCTCTGGGCCTCGCTTCTAGTGCACGGCCTGGGGAGCGTCTCGGGAAGCGCAAGCCTGGTGTCTGAGAGGCGGCTGCCGTGGCTCGCAGACAGTGCTGTGACACGACCTCCCAAGGCCCCATTTCTCCCAAGAGGCCACAGCGGCTGACCAGGTAAAGCCCTAGGGGCAGGGGGTCTGAACAAGTCGCCCAGGCCTGAGCGCTCTGCACCAGGCACAGCGTGGGCCTTCCACCCACTGCCAGGGCTGGGCATCCTCTGCAGGAGGCAGGGAGGCTACACGGTGCCAGCCTCGGCAGCTCGGAACCCGCAGGCCCTTCCAGAGACTGTCTGCCTCCTGCCTCCTGCTCCCGTCCTAGCTGGACAGTTCTCTGTAACCAAAGCTGCAACACACACATTTTAATCGATGAATCGGTTTTCGGAAACCTGCCGCATCACCCCCACAAAAAGCCGGCATTTCACACTCAGGAGACAGGGACATGTCAGCGGCAGGAGGCCTGTGGACCAGTAAATGTGGCCTCTGGGGGGTTGCTGGGAGCTGTGGGGGCAGGGCAGGGGCACATGGAAACTTGCACTTTCTGTGCCGTTTTGCTGGCAACCTACAACTGCTCCACAAGGCAAAATCTATTAGAAGCTGAAAACATGAACTAGGTGGTGGGTTTTCTGTCTTCTTGACCCCATGTTAAGGTGGCAAAACATGGCAGTATAATGACACTGCAGGATCTTGATACATTGGCTTGGCTAAAGCATGTGGAAGATTAAAAACAAATTCACAGAAATGAACACAATGATCTTTGGCCCTTAAAAACGAGCCTTTTGCCAGGCCCGGTGGCTCAGGCCTGGGGTCCCAGCTACTTGGGAGGCTGAGGCAGGAGGGTTGCTTGAGCCCAGGAGGTCGAGGCTGCAGTGAGCTTTGACAGTGACCCTGGACTCCGGCCTGGACATCAGTGAAAGACTCTGTCTCTAAAAAATAAAATAAAGACAAATGAGCTGTTCAAGCTGAGCGTGGTGGCGCATGCCTGTGATTCCAGCTACTCAGGAGGTGGGAGGATCGCTCGAGGCCAGGAGCTCGAGACCAGCCCGGGCAACTCAGCAAGACCCTGGTTCTTGAATGACAGCAGCAAAGCCCTTCCTGGGGAAGGATGTGGAGCCGGAAGGACGCTGGCTGCCTGGATCGCTCGAGGCCAGGAGCTCGAGACCAGCCCGGGCAACTCAGCAAGACCCTGGTTCTTGAATGACGGCAGCAAAGCCCTTCCTGGGGAAGGATGTGGAGCTGGAAGGACGCTGGCTGCCTGGGGCTGGCTGCCGGTTTATGCCGAGTCTTGCCCCACTGAGCTAGCTGGCGGGGTCTCCCCACAGCCCTCACGGAGCCCGCAGCTGCTCGCCCTCTGGCTGCCCCTGCCGAGGCCCCACCTGCTCAGGCGACTGCTGGGCTCCTCCACATCTGTACGTGCTCCGCCCTGTTCGGGGCCCCCGCACCCACACACACGGGAGAGGCCGGCGCCCCCAGTCTGCCTGACCGTCCTCCCGGCAGCTGTGGCTACCTGAGCTGTACCCGCGCTTACTTCAGCTTCCTCAAGGGCAGGGCACGAACTGTGTGCTCTGCTGCCCCCGCTGACAGCAGAGTCTGGCGTGCCCCAGGCCCTCAGCATGTCTCAGGGTGTGTGCTGAGGCCGGGACAGTCTGCAGGAAGACTGGCGAGAACTTTCCGGCAAGTCCACCTCACAGTCTCTGAAATGTAGGGAACGTTTGTTCTCCTATTTATTGAAGAGCACCAGTTTCTTCGTTTTTTGAGTTGGGATCTCACACTGCTGCCCCGGCTGGAGTGCAGTGGTACAGTCACAGTTCACTGCAGCCTCGACCTCTTGGGCTCAGGCAACCCTCCTGCCTCAGCCTCCTGAGTAGCTGGGACTACAGGTGTGCACCACCACGCCTGGCTGATTTTTTTTGCTTGTTTGTAGAGATGAGGTCGCTCTATGTAGCCCAGGCTGGTCTCGAACTCCTGGGTTCGAGCGAGCCTCCCGCCTCTGCCTCCCAAAGTGCTGGGATGACAGGCATGAGCCACTGAGTCTGGCCTAAAATTTGACAAATGTCATATAAAGACACCATCTCAAAAGACCTGACAGGTGAGGAGAGACGAACCTCAATCAGGCAACCCATTCGAGTCCCCGGTGGCGGCTCCAGTGGGCCGTGGTGTGGGCGCCAGGGCTGCCACGGAAGCTGCCAAGGGCTAGGCACTGCCAGGCCACCTGGAACCCACAGCCGCCGTGTTTCTTCTGATGAGACGAGGTCTCACTAGGTTGGCGAGGCAGAACTTGAACTCTTGGGCTCAAGGGATGCTCCCGCCTTGCCCTCCCAGGTCGCTGGAGCTAGGGGCGCACACCACCACACCTGACGACTACCGCCTTTCAAGGAAGGGGCTTGGGTCTTTGTTTTAGGACGAGCAAAAGCAGGCTGGGAGGGTTCCGTCCGCCTGCCAGAGTGACACCGGTGCTGAGGGCACAGGCAACAGCCTGATCAGCCCAAGGCTCCACAGCCCAGCACACCAGCCTCTCAGCCTCTCCGCGACAGTCAGGAGCCCGCATGCCTGGGCACACGGTCTCAGGCTGCTGCTCCGGGACGGGGAGGCGTCCGGACAGGCCGGCTGTCCCACTGAATCCTCCACCCATGACTACTCCAGGCCCAGGAAGCCGCGGGGCTCCGCAGCCAGGGCGCAGCGCCTACCTTGGCTTCAGGCGTGGCCACCGGCTTTGGCGGGAACTGCACCTCAGTAGCTTTCAGAATCGTGTTCTCCTGCAGAATGTCTTGCTGGGATTGGTTGTGGCCGAAAGGCTGGCGCACAAGAACACAAGAGGTGAGATGGCCCTGCGCTTCCTCCCCGTCAGCTCTGGGACCGCAGTGCGGCTGTAGATGGGGGCGCAGGGGTGGACGTGCAGGACACCCTTCCCCACACTCGGGCTCTGGCCTGTGTTCTTGAGTCCAGACCCAAGAGCACCTGGAGCTCACATGCCTGTGCCCGGCCCAGCTCCAGTTCCCCAGCCTAACACTGCCGAGCCTGGCTCACAGCGAGGAGGAGCAGGAGTCGGCGCGGCCTCCAGGAGAGGCGTGGGCCCGGGGGATGCGCTTTGGGCCCCCGGCCGCCCTGAGACCAGACCGACACAGGTGGAGGAGTGGCCATCTCCTGCTAGACTGCCGGCTCTTGGCCCACTCTGCGGTGCTCCCCGAGACCCCACAGACCCTTCTAGAGGACCTTGACCAGCACTGTCAGCAGCAAGTCCACATCGCCAGAGGCCCATCGGTCCTGAGGCATCTCCCTGTCTAGAGCGAAGACCGGGGGCCACGGGGAGGGGAGGGACCGCTGTCACCTGCACGGGAGCCTGACCTCAGGAGGGCAGCACAATGCTCCAGCCTGGAGGTGACAGGCCCGCTGGGGACACGGGACACGCAGGCAGGCCGGCAGCCGTGTGGGAACTCGCCCAACTGGAAGTCGTGTTCCCAGGGAAGTGCCACCACGGCCGCTCGTCAGGGCACTCTGCCCTGGGCTGTGACCTGTCCACCCGGCACGCCACCCTGATCAAGTGTCCTGACGCCATCTCCTGGCACGGAGATGGCGTGCTTTCCCGAGCAGTGGCGCCACCCATGGGTGGCGGGAGGCAGTGTCTGGGATGTGTGAGCTTCAGTCCCTGGGGAGGACTGCCTGCTTCACATCATCAGAACCGAAGCCTGTCTGGACCCCCGAGAAGCACTTGGAGCCCAGCGGGATGCGCTGAGCGCTGGGCGAGCCCGCTGTGCACACGGCTGGCGCGCCCCAGGCTGCGAGTCCTCGACTGCCTCCCCAGACTAACCCCCCGCACAGCACTGTGGCCACAGGCCTGCCGGGAGGAGCCGGGCTGCCCTCAGTTCCAGCCTCACCTTCCTTCCGTAGAGACACTGGTAGAAGATCACGCCCACCGACCAGACGTCGACTTTATTTGAGATCTTTGGTGGCTCCTTCCCAACCACGAAACACTCTGGTGGTAAATACCTGGGACAAGAGAGGCAGGTGACCATGCAGGACAGGCTTGGAAGACAAAGGCTCAACAGAGCACCTGCATTTTAGCAGTCAGCTCAGACCTGCATGGGAAGTCCATGCAAAGACTCCACCTCAGGGAGGCAGGTGTCCTCCAAGGTGTGCCTCAGCTTCCTGGGCAGTGACTCTCACTAGTCCTGCCTCCTTCATGCCAGCCTCCGTTCCAGGCTGTGCCTCATGTAAGTGTCACCCAACAAGCTTTTAAAGGGGGCTTGGGGGCACAGGAGAAGTGCACCTCTTCCACAACGGCTTCACCAGCAAATGCTGGCATACAAGTAGAAATGGTGTCAGTTCTTTCATGTTGCCTAAGTAGGCAGAAATAAATATGTAATCAATGTCTTAGAAGTCCACATGGATTTGAATCCAGCACAGATCTCTGAGGAATGAGGTTACCCTTCCTTCTGGTGGCCTCGTTTGGAAATCTGGACTGGAAATAACTCCAATATACAATAAAGAATGACATTAAAGTTCAAATTATCAGAGGAATTTTTTTTTTGAGGGGAGAGGATCTTGCTATGTTGCCCAGGCTTGGGAACTCCTGGGCTCAAGCGATCATCCTGCCTCAGTTCCCAAGCAGCTGGGATTATAAGCATGAGCCATTGCGTCCAGCGTAGAAGATACTTCCTGTTTTAAGGGTGACCAGGGACTTACTGGAAGACTAACAGATCATGTAGCAAAAGTCAAACAGACCAGTTGTTAGAACAACTCAACCCACATCTAAATTCCTTCTCTCCCTACTGCTGGTCTCTAAGGAAACAAGATGATAGCTAGCCCCAGCAAATTGCATGGTGTGGAAGACAACAAGTACCTCTAGGCATTTAGGAAACTAAATGAATATGTCTGGAGTCTCAGCCAGGGCACCGGTGGAATGCAGAATTCTAAAGATAACAGATAGATTTCGGGCTAGCAAAATCAATTCCGTGGTAAGCTCTTTATTTTGGACCCTACTGGCTCTTGGTACAGAAATCTAAACTTACACAGGAGATGAGAGGCAGAAACGTCCTCTGTGTCTCCATCTCCAGCAAATTGAGTTCAGATCTGCTTGCTTTTGTTTTTTAAGGAGTTTAGTTTCATATTCATGTGTCTCATTTATTATTCTTATAAGACACCTTTGGATGATTAAGACATTTGGCTTGGTGAGACCTCATCTCTACAATAAAAATTAAAAATTAGCTGGACGTGGTAGCACGCGCCTGTAATTCTGGCTACGCAGAAGGCTGAGGCGGAAGGATCGCCAGAGTGCAGCAGGTGGAGGCTGCGGTGGTCGGGAGTGGCCACGGCACTCCAGTCTGGGCGACAGAGTGAGACTCCAACTCAAAACAAAACAAAGCAAAACAAAAACAACAAAAAAAGACATTTGGCTAGATTATTATTTCACAATGAAAACTACTGGCAGAAACATGTATTGACAAATGAAATATGGGTACAGAACCCACTAAGAGAGAAACAAAGGCAAAGAAACAAAAACAAAGAAAAAATAGGTAGGGTGCAGTAGACCACACCTGTAATCCCACCACTTTGGGAGGCAGAGGCAGGAGGATTCCCTGAGTCCAGGGATTCAAGACCAGCCTGGGCAACATAGTGAGACCTTGTCTCTACAAATAATTAGCTGGGCATGGCGGTGCATGCCTGTACTCCCAGCTACTTGAGGAGGCTGAGGCAGAAGGACTGCTTGAGCCCAGGTTGGGGCGGCAGTAAGCTGTGATCATGTCACTGCACTCCAGCCTGCGTGACAGAGCAAGATGCTGCCACTCCAGAAAAAAGAAAAGATCTATCTATAGTTATGAACCCTAGTTTTCATAGCTCTCGATTTTTCAATAAACATAAATGTGATCTTGGATAAGTATCAAATATAACCTTAATTCTAAATATATTTATATGACATTTTGTGGTGGTGGTGGTGGGGAGCACAGGGGTTGTTGAACTCACTCAAGTGCAGAGAAATGACTTATCAAGGTTTTCAGGATATAAAAGGCACTGTCACGTGACAGCACGAGTCTAGCAAATCACATACTAGGGCTCAGATTCACAGTCTCAGTGTCTCTATCTGCAAATGAACAAAACTAATTCTTCACCCAACGAATATGGAAAATAACAAGCATTCTAATTTCCTATCAAAGACTTTGGGAAAGAGAGTGAAAACAGTTCTGTGGTGCTACACTAAATTGTGGTAAAAAAAAACACAGTGGCATATCCCACCACAATGAAAGTCCCCAGGCAGAAAAGTGCCTCACACAGCACAGACTATGGGCCACTTCTTTAAAATAAGTATTAGATGCAGAAGAATTCTGGAACGACCAAATACTGGGAATGGTCACTTAGAATTGTTTCATCCTCCTGGCTTCTCTCTCTCTGGGTCATCCTAAGAGGACAGTACACTGAGGACGATCACGACATCTTTCTTTCTTTCTTTCTTTGTTTTTTGAATTGGAGTCTCACTTTGTCGCCCAGGCTGGAGTGCCGTGGCACACTCATGGCCACCCTAGCATTGACCTGCTGGGCTCTGGTGAGCCTTCCACCTCAGCCTTCCAAGTAGCCAGAACTACAGGCGCGCACTACCACGTCCGGCTAATTTTTTAATTTATTGTATAGATGAGGTCTCACCAAGTTGCCTGGGCTGGTCTCGAACCCACAGGCTCAGGCAATTGACTTGCCTCGCCTCCCAAAGTGCTGGGATTACAGGCTGAGCCTGGTCGATCATGACATCTTTCTACCAACGTGGGGACCCTACACACCTTCCGAGAAACGGCTAAGACTGGATTTTCTCAGAAGGCCCCCTCATCATACACTTCATGACAAACAATCTCAAATCTAATCTAAGTAAAAGAACATCAGAAGGAAGTCCCAAGGAGACACCACCCAGCTTCGATGATTTGACACCAACCTGCTCCCTGCCCCCGCCCCAGATTCCTTTGAAGAAATCCCAAATGTCACATAATTCTTATTTAAATTCCAGTGACCAGATTTTTATAGCTAAGCAAACATAGCACTTGGTAGCAATCAGATAACTATTTTGATGTGAAAATACCGCACCTTTTAAACAGAACAAGCTATCAGATGCAAAGCTCGAATCCAAGTTCCAGTGACCACATGGAGCGGAGGGCAGACCGCTGGCAGCTCTCAAGAGCAAGGGCGTCACTTAGTGGCCACCAGGGGGAAGAAACACTAAAAGCAGCTTCTGTTGTGAACCTAGACTTTCAGAGCTCTCATTTCGGAACTGACTTTGCAGCAGGCACCGTCTCCAGGACCTCCGGAAGCAGGGCTGAGCCCGGGTGCTGGTGATGCGCTGCCTCCAGCCTCAGCTGCCAAAGACAAGCGGCCTGACCCCCAGGCCTGGGTGTGTCGCGCCTGCGATTTTTCCCACAGGGCAGCGGTCCAGGCACCCTTCCTGGTTCTCACTGACAAAAGCAAGAGGTAGCAGGAGGCCGTCGCAGAGCTGCAGGCAGAGCTCGCTGGGGCAGTCGGTGGTGAGGGGTGGCACCTCAAGGACACTCGGGAGTGGCCAGTGGCCATGGACAGTGCCTGGGCAGATGCCACAGGAGGCTGCGGTCTCCACCCTGAGCCTCACAGCTCCCTAGCTCTTGAGAGTCCAGTGCCTGCAGGCAACTCTCGAACCCTCTCCCCTGCCACCCACGAGAAGACCTGCAACTGTGCCCGGAGGCGCCGGGGCCGCTCTCTCCACACACTGCAGGAGCAGCCTTGGCCTCCATGGACAGTGGGGCCGGCTCCGTGGCGGAATCACCAGCCGCGAACCCCAGGCCACACCAAGGTGCTTGTTCTCAAGGGTTTGCAAGAAAGGAAAGAAAAACCAAGGCAATCAAGGTGAACACAGAGGCCAGTGCTGACTGCGACGGGTTGGGGAGCAGCTGGCTCTGGCCTCCGGCAGAGGGGTGAGTGGCTCCTGACACCTGGTGCAGCCAGGCCTCGGGAACACCTACCAGTAAGTGCCAGCACCCTGCGACGTGAGCTCCATGCCGTCCACTGAGTTGTAGCTGTCGTCATCCATGATCTTGGAAAGACCAAAATCTGTAATTTTTATCTCTCCACACGCTGTACCATTTACTAAGAGAATATTACCTGAAAGATAAAAACCGTCATGAGCAGGCAGGCACTTACTGGCTAGAAAAAAATCCAAGCAGGGACAGACGAGGCCAGGATGGCGGAGCTCACACTCCTCACGCAATCCATACGGCCTGGCCAATAGGCGACCTGGACACGGGGCGGGCAGGGCCCTCGGCGTCTGCCAGAAGCTTCCACATCCAAGAATCTTCTGCTCCATGTGCAGAACCAGCACTACAAGCTCTGGAAATAAAAACTGGTGGCCCAAGCGCAGTATCTCTTGTTCCACTGGCCCAAGTGAAAGGAGCTTCTCTGGACTTTCTGAGGACTCTCAACCCCTCAGTTTAGACAGCAGTTGGGGGCGGTCAGAGCGGACAGACAAGGTCTTGGAGCTCTGCGCTGCACTCACATGGGCCCGCTTCGAAAAGCAGCTGCACTACCGATGAACTTTTAGTTACCCGGGTGCAGCAGACCACTGAGGAAAAGTCGAGAGTGAGACTCACACGCATTGCCGGAAGCGTCAAGCAAGGCAGGGGCAACCGTCTCCCAACATCCGGGCTGAACGCCCGCCCGCTTCTAGAAACAGCTGAGGGCAACAGCGAAAGGCCCCCGCACCCACTCTCTGCGGCAGACCAGCCAGACTAGAGGACGGCCATCCCGGAAGACGAGAAGCTGCCGGAGCCTCGAGAGCCAGGAGGCACGGTGCGGAACAAGCTGTGCCATGGCGGCCCCTGCCAAGCTGCGACGCAGGGCCCTGCAGTGTGGGGCGAGGGACAGGAGGAGACCAAAGGTGGCTGCCAGAACAGTCCTGTCTGAACTGGGCGGACGCCCTGAATGGCCCTGGCCCTGAGACCGAGCAGTGCTTCCCCGGCGCCTCGCAACCCGTCTCCTGGGTCAGGGCGCCGGCCGGGACTTCTCACACCTGCCGGGCAGCCTCATGTCAGATGTCACCAGGCCCTTCCTGGCTGCTGCAACATTCTCTCACTTCATCAAACTGAAAGCCACCAAGATGCCCAAGGGTCAGACATACCTGGTTTGAGGTCATAGTGGATGATAGGAGGTTTGATTTCATTTAAGTACTTTAAAGCGTTCACAATCTGCATGATGATGGACCGGGCCTCTTTCTCCGACATTAACTTGTGCTGCTTCAGGTAGAAGTCCAGGTCATTCCCCTCACAGTATTCTAACACTGTGCAGAACCTGAGGACCAAGGGACAGGTGCGTCACCAAGGAGTAGCAACAGCCAGTGGAGACGCCGGGCCCAGCCCCTGTGAACGTCCAAGGGAAGAAGCCCCTCCCTCCCTTCTGTGTTCCATGCCAGTGCTGGCCCGAGTGGTTCACACCAGGAACCGCACCCTCCCCACCGAGTCCTTGGGCTCCAGCTCGCCAGGGCTGCTTCCTGTGGACATGGGCAGGGGCTGGCGTGTGCTGGGGCCAGGGCTCTTCTAGGAAGGGACTCCAGCCCCCCCCCCCCGTCACGCATCATGTCTGGACAGCCAGGCTGTGATCCATTCTGCAATTCTCACTGCACCCACGCTTTGCAGAGAACCCTGGCTGCTGAGGGCAAGGAGAACCTAGGGCTTGCCAGGTCCTGGGAGCTGCCTGTCTGCACCATCCCCTGGTTACATGACCACTCTCTCTGACACAGGTGTAGACAGGTGTGTACCAGTGCAGGATCTCTGGTTCTAACAAGCGTGTCATTACAGGGATCGGCCTTCTTGTTTCACTTAGGCGAACACGTCACACAGGCCCACACATGCAACCACGCCATCTGTGGCACTGCGGGCCACGTGGCTGCCTTCTAAGGCATCACAGCCTGAAGATGTATGTCCTCAGCTGTCTTAGTGTCCCCGAGAGAGGGGCATCTTTGGGAACCATTTTAAGTTGTGACAATGTGGGTGTGTCAGAGTCTGCTAGGAAATAACCACCTGAGTATTTAAAACCGAGGCTTTCATTCTGGGAACTGACCACACAGGTGAAGGAAGAAGAAAAGCTGGCCAGTGAGGCACTCAGAGACCATGGACAGCAGGAAGCCATCGCGCCCTGAGGCCAGAGGGCGGATGGTGCAACCAAGCCCAGGGTCCCCGGGGAAGCTGCAACCCCCAGCTCTGTGTCCCCACTGGCTGAGCCCAGTCGCTTCATCAGACACAGGAGCCTGTCGAGCAACCATCAGGGCTGTCCCACCTCGCTGCGGAACAGGGCTGAGGGTCCAGGAGGCAGCAGCACGGGCCACTGGGCATCGGAGGCCTTAAGAAGCACCACCACCATGCAGACACACGGTCTTGCAGACTCCTCAAGCTTACGCTTCTTTTGAAGCACAGCAGGGCACGCCAGCAGCCTACTTGAGAACAAATGTCTGAAGTTTACAGATATGTGTCCTCTGCACTCAGAGATGTCTGGTGGATCACCTACTAGCAATGTGATCACTGGAACCAATTATTTTCTTGTAATGATACTTGGCTGATAATGGAATTTTGGACATTGAGGAACTTATTTAAGACAAAAAAAAAAAATCAAAATTTTCTATCTTCCACTCTTTTTTTTTTTTTTTTTTGTGTCAGAGTCTCACTCTGTTGCCCAGGCTGGAGTGCAGGGGCACGCTCATGGCCACTGCAGCCTTGACCTGCTGGGCTCAGGCAATCCTTCCACCTCAGTCTTCCAAGTAGCTGGAACCACAGGCACGTGCCACCAGGTCGCCAGGTCTGGCTAATTTTTTTATTTATTGTAGAGACGAGGTCTTGCCAAGTTGCCCAGGTTGGTCTCAAACCCCTGGACTCATTTTCTTAATGTGTGGTAGCATGTGAAACAGTCACCAATGTGCATTGTAGGTTCATGGATGCAAGTTGTGCAACAGGAATTTTTTGGACGTCTTCCACCTGGTGTTTTTCTATTCAAGCAAACAGTGCAGTCACATTTTCTTCTATGTAATTTATTGTTCCATCTGTTGTTCAAAGACGACATGGAAGGATGCACTCATGATTCCTGGAATCTACTTCTCAACTGATCATTCCTGTCTCAGTATAGATTCCACCTCTTTATTTGCTTTCTCGTGCAATTTGGATAGAAAACGTCAAGGATACATTTCTGAAAAATCTGTGCTGGCATAAGTTTGTCCTGTTTGGCATGTGCCACCAGGTCTGGCTAATTTTTTAATTTATTGTAGAGATGCGGTCTCGCCAAGTTGCCCTGGCTGGTCTCGAACCCCTGGACTCAGGCAATGCACACACTTTGGCCTTCCAAAGTGCTGGGATTACAGGCTGAGCCTCCGAGCCCAGCCCAGAAGATCTTTTAAAAAAGATGGTTTGACTTCTTTCTGGTGAAAATCCATCATATACACAATATAACGAACAAAGTAACTCAAGAATGATAGAGAATCAATTCATTCTCACATTAGTTGAAAGTATGTATACAATTCAAAACAGATAATTCATGTCATTATATTTATCTTTGAAACAGATTTTGGACTTGAATTTCAGAGGGTCTACCTAGTGTTCAGTTGACGCCACCCTGTGGAGAACTGCCTTGGTTTCCCAATCCTGTCCTCTGTGAGGTTACTTTTCCAGGCTGCACTCCAGGCAGAACCACCTATGCTATGCCCGGGTGAGGGTCCCCCGTGAAGGGAGGAGACCCTTGAGCAGGCAGAACAGGGTTCCAAAGGGAATGACGGTCTCCTTGTGGGGTCATTTTTAAATGCGGGTGGACCATTCCTGTGTAGCCATTCCTGAGATCGCTTCTGGGTAGAAAAGACCAAACTCCTAGAATCAACTGGAAGGCTGAGGGGACTGGAGGCCACCTGGGGTGTGTTCTCTGCACAGTCCTGACTCCGACAGAGAAACGTTTCCAAAGGCTGAAACATGTCCAGCTAGACTGCTGGGTAATGCAGAGGCTCTGAGCTTACCTGCACCAGGTGACAGAATGTGGCAGTGCCCACGATTACCAAAGAGCTCAGACACATCATCTACCTTCTCTAGTCCCTGGGATCCACCCATGAAACAGAAGGCAAGACCCCGAGGCCCTCTCTAATCCCAAAGTCCTGTGGGCCTGGGAAACCTGTCTCAACATGCAGCCCTGAGTCCTGCCTTTGTGGGGCCACTGTCTTGTTCCAGGATGAAGTCACACTGCTGGTACTTCTTAAAGGGGCTTGTCAGTGTCCATCAGTCTCAAGGGCGAGCAGAAACTCTCTTGAACTGTCTACACTTGCTGGTGCATGTCCATGGCAGGCTGGTACCAACCTGGGCCAGCTTCTAAGAGCAGACTGGAATTTCTAAGAGTCTCAGGAATTTTGTGAACTGGTTATTAACTACCAGTAGGACAAACGGACAAGCAGGACACAGCACACCCATACAACGCAGTGGCATTCAGCCATGAGAAGAAGCGTTATCTGATCGGTGCTGCAAGGATGAGGCTTGAAAGCGGCAAGCTCGGCCAGGCGTAGTGGCTCAAGCCTGTAATCCCAGCACTTGGGAGGCCAAGGTGAGAGGATTACCTGAGCCCAGAGGTTCGAGACCAGCCTGGGCAACTTGGTGAGACCTTGTATCTACAGTATATCAAAAAATTAGCCAGGTGTGGTAGTACGTGCATGTCATTCTGGAAACTTGGAAGGCTGAGGCGGAAGGATTACCGAAGCCCGGCAGTCAATGCTAGGGGGCTGTGAGCATGCCACTGCCCTCCAGCCTGGGTGACAGAGGGAGACTCCAACTCCAAAGAAAAAAGCCAGAAAGCAGCATGCTCAGTGGAAGTCATGCCGACTGACCCCACTCCCACGACAGTCCGAACAGGATATCTACGGGGACAGGACAGCGGGGCTGGGGCAGGGAAGAGGGATGACAGGAAGAGGCAGGGCACTTCTTTCGAGGCCTGACCGTGTTCTGATGCTGGCTCTGGGGAGCGCACGTCTGAGAAGATGCCAAAAACACTGCACTGTACCCTTGCAATGTGTGACTCACATGGCGTGGGGTTTATAATCCAATAAAGCTGTTGCCTGGCAGCGCTGCACCAGACACAGGGAGGACGTCACCACAGGACCCCAAGGCCTGCAGGGGATCCGCGCTCGTGGTCAGCGGCCGAGGGCACAGGCCTTGGCGAGAGGCGCTGCAACCCAAACTGGACTTACAGATGGCCCTTTGCCCACATGTTAATATAGCTGCTGATTCAGAGGGTACTTCCCGGACTCAGACTTGAGCTCTAGTCCACGCACAGTCCATACTGCAGGTAGACACGACCAAGGTGAGACAGCACGGCACTTACGAGTCAGTGTCCAGTGAGAAGTAATCATACAGCTTCACTATCCGGGGGTGGTCCAGCTCCTTGTGAATCCGATACTCCCTACACGCATGCCTGTGGACAAAACGGACGATTACCAGACGGTCTTGGCTGCCTTTCAGAGTTCTCCACAATGCCCCCAGATACCCTGTCATTTCTCCACTGTTTCCACAGGTTCACTTCATTCAGGCTCACCCGAGAGCTCTTCAAGACACTCCGTCATTTCCCTAGGTTCACTCCGTTCGGGCCCACCTAGCCTCTTGTCTGACTTTTCCTCTGCTCCTATTTTCTCTACTTGGATGTACCAAGTCACTCGGGAAACAGCAGGTGCACAAATGAGGTGTGTTTTAAGCTCACTGGCCTGTCTTCAAGGTCCCAGTCTGAGTGTGTGTGTATGTGTGTGTCGCCCTTCGATGGCGTGATGTCCGTCCAGGTCGGGCTCCTACCGGTGCCCTGGCATTCCAGGAGAGCCCCCCGACCCTGCACTGGAGTGGGTAAATCATTGTCGTGCTTGTACGTATTGATCTTTCTTAGATGCACATAGAGCTCACCCTTCCTTCAGTGTTAATAGACGTGCTTTGGTCTTTATTGAGAAGTCTTTGGGAACAGAAATATGCTGTAGGAACTTAGCTCATTTATGTCATTCAACTGGCCTACGGAAAAACTGGTTTTGCTGTCAAGTTGTTTCACTTAAAGTTGCAGATTCCGGAAACCTCTTGAGGATGTCTGTGAAGCCTTTTTCTACTCTGCTTTTTATCATTATCTTATATTACTTTTTTAGAGAAGGGGTCTTGCTGTGTCGCACAGGCTAGAATGCAGTGGCACGATCACAGCTTCCATCAGCCTCGACCTCCTGGGCTCAAGCAATCCTCCTGCCTCAGCCTCCAGAGCAACAGGGACTACAGGCTTGAGCCACCATGCCTGGCTAGTTTTTTATTTTATTTTATTTTTTTGCAGAAACAGGCTCTTGCTAGAGTTTACTCCTTCTGTTTCTGTTGTTGTTGTTGAGTTGAAGTCTCACTGTTGCCCAGGTAGGAATGCAGTGGCACAATCACAACTCACTGTAGCCTCGACCTTCTGGGCTCAGGTGATCGTTCCTCCTCAGAGTTCGGAATAGCTGGAACTACAGGCGTGTGCCACCACGACCTGCTATTTAAAAAAAAATTTTGTACAGATGAGGTCTTGTGATGTTGCCCAAGTTGGTCTTGAACTCCTGGCCTCAAGTGATACTCCTGCCTCAGTCTCCCAAAGTGCTGGATTAGAGAAAAGAGCCATCATGCCCGGCCATCCTATGTACGTTTTAAAAAATTAACTACAGAACAGCCTCAGGCAAGTCCTTCAGGGCGTATTCCAGAGAAACTTGTTATTCTAGGAGGTGACAGTGCTATGCGTGTCACTGCCCCAGAAGACCCTCTGGTGGGACGAGGTGCAGAGGCAGAGGACAGAGACGGGGATGACTCTGAGCCTGAGGAGGCCTAGGCTCACGTGTGCTTGTGTCTCCACTTTTAACATAAGTTTTTTTTTTTTAATTACAAATACAAAAAAAAAAGAAGAAAAAATAGCTTATAGAATAAGAATATAAAGAAAGTATTTCAGCTGGGCTCGGTGGCTCAGCCTGTAATCCTGCGCCTTTGGGAGGCTGAGGTGAGTGGACTGCCTGAGTCCGCAGGTTCGAGACCCGCCTGGGCAACTTGGCGAGACCTCATG